TCATGATCCCAACACAACCCTGAGAATCTTTAAAACATGCAAACTGGGAGGGTTTCAGACAAACACACACGTAACTGATCTCGAGGGGTAACCCACACACACAATAAACACCCACCTTGAACAGTGGTACGCAGACATACAGACGGCCCGCGAGGCTAACATACCCAAAACAACACACAAAACCATCCCTCACTACAAAGAAACACATCGTCTTAGATTGCTTAAAATACAATACAGGCACCTACACGAGCTCTCACTAACACGGGGTTGGGACGCACAATTACGCACACGATACAGAGAACTCAAAACGCAAATAACACACGAGACTAAAGTAATGAACAAACAACACTGGGATTCACTAGCACAAAGACTATGTCAAAACACTAATGACCCCAAGAAATTTTGGAGTTCCTTCAAAATGCTCATGGGATCGAACAAACAAACTACCACATTCTTATACAACACACATCGACAGAAGGTGGTCTCGGTGGAGGAGATGGAGCTTCTCCACAGGGAATTCTGGCAACAGAATTTCCAGATCTCCCCCGCCGAGAACGCCCGCTTCGATAACACCACAGAGACCGAGGTAACACAATACCTTCTACAACACAGAAACACAATTCTCCCCGAAAACACCATCAGACTAAACAATCTCACAGAGGATAGTCCCCTCTCTACACCAATCACTCCAGAGAAAATAACAAACACAATCAAACACACGAAAAACACAACACCAGGAGCAAGCAACATAACAAACAAATCAAAACAATCTGCCACCCACTATGATCCGCAGGCTAGGTCACATTTTTAACGCAAGTCTGGCTGCAGGATATTTCCCTGACAAATTCAAACACGCAACTGTCACCCTTATTGCGAAGTCGGGGAAGTCAGCACACGAAGTGGGGAATTACCGCCCCATCTCGTTGCTGGAAGTTCCCGGGAAACTGCTGAAGAGGCTTATTACCCGCAGACTCATCACCCACCTTGAAAACAACAGCAAACACAACAGTAGGCAATACGGCTTTCGCCCACACAGGGGGACCGAGAGTGCGATTGCGCTCGTTTACGAGGAAATCGCTCTCGGTCTCGCTAACAAGCACCAGATCAACACCACACTACGAGACGTCAGCAAGGCCTTTGATAAGGTCTGGCATGACGGCCTCAAATACAAAATAACACTACTACAACTTCCTACACATCTCACGCGCCTCCTCTGCAGTTTCCTGGACCATAGGACTGCCACAATACGCCTGGGAACCCACCTGGGCACCCACCTCCACCTGAGAAGTAGAGTACCACAGGGAAGCGTTCGTTGAATGGACTAAAGGGGGAGGAATTAAGGGCCGACTTGCCAGCACCCACACCACACAGTAACTATTTTTCCTATGCAGACGATATCACGCAGATAATTCCACACCCCTCTAAATCACAACACATCATGAAACGAACAACAGAGCGAGCTATACAGAACACCAACACCTTTGAGCACCAATGGAAAATACAGACAAACATAAACAAATTCAAACTCATGAACATAGCACGCAGAGTCGCACAACCAATCACAATAAACACCACGCCTATCCCTTACGCAAACAAAGTCACATCACACGTCACACACAAAATCAAACAAGCAAACACAACACTCACCAAACTCCGACGCTTCTCATGCTACACACCACGAACCAAACTCAGACTATACAAAACAACTGTCAGACCAATTCTCGAATATAAAGCTGTCCCGCTGGTTGCAATATCTTACTCACAAAAACTCAAAATGCAATCAGTACAGAACAAAGCACTACTCTGGGTACACTACTCAGAAACTCTTCACAGAATATGCAGCATCGAGCCACTCAACACACGCATACACAGACGCGCACAAAACACCTGGGCCCGCCTACGCGAACAAGAAGACACGCACTACCAAAACATCATTGGCAAACACACAAACACACACAACAATCACAGCTGGTGGCCCAGGATACTTCCACTGACTCAAAACACAACACCATTACCTCTCTACGCCCCACTCCACTAAGCTATGACCATTACCTTTACCTGATTATGTCCTATGTTGAAGGCAAAAATAAATAAAAACAATAAAACCAGAAGTCACCCTCAGAATCCCCAAAGGTTTGGCTAACCCACGCTGCACAGCACATAACAACATAAGAAAGCGAGTGAGCTTCGACCCTGCCAGCTTTAGCTGGCGGTATCTGGCAGGTACATGCGTGCGGCGAGGATTAGCCAATCACGGGGGAGAGAGGGCTGGCCACCTTGCAGTGGCTCAAAGGTATATATTCGGCGTTGAAGTTACCACGTAATTATACACCGAGATATTTCAAGAACTGAGTATCTTACAAACTTGCAACGGACTCTGACTCGATTGCCTTTGATTATGGGATTGCACTCGTGCAATTGCATAAGGCAGACACGCGAGTCAGAGGACGAGCAGGATGGAGATGTTCTACGGAAAAAGGAATAAAAAATAAAAAAAATAAAAACTTCCACAAAAAAAACCTTCTTTGTTCTGATGTTATTGTGTTATATTACGTTATGTTATGTTCTCCTTATTCTCTCATGTTCCTACCTCCTTAACCCTTTCAACCTCAGGCAAGCATAACCGCATATGTGCGTGAATTGGGTGCACGTATGTGTACATGCATGTGTATATGTATATTCATATATGTATATATGTCCGTGTATGCATATGTGCATCGGCTCGCTCCCATAATGCTACTATGCTGGCCTATCTCACCTCTGCATATCTTAATGCTTACCTTTGTTCGGCATTACTTATCTTCGTCAACTTTACCTCTTTATCCTCTAACTCAGCCACAGGCTGCATTTATCTATTTATTTGTTTAACTTATGTTGTCTGTTTTTATTTTTTTTTTCCATCACTTTATCACCCCCTTATTATGTGTTATTTTACTCATGCTCTCCTTTGGCCCCTTCCAACCTTGCAATTCAGACCCAGTTGTCGATGCTTTCACTTCCTCAACAGATGAAAAACCAAACACTTGATCCGGTCTCTATTGATTCTATTGATATGCAAGTATCACCCATATCATCACGGCACGTCATCTTCACTCATCTTCACCCCTTTCCTCTCTCCTATCCTTTAGTGCTCTTCCCCTTCGTCATCCATTTGTTACCAAATGTTTATTTCTATGCTTCTGTTGACACCTAAAGTAAAATCAATAAAAATAATAATAAACAAAACCCAATACAAAAGTAGAAATAATTAAAACAAAATAAAAAAGTTTTCGTTAATTTGTTTCAACCTTTAAGAAAATAAATAAATAAAAACAATAAAATAAAAAGCCAATAAAAATTCTTCTCGTTCCTTGTCACAGTTTTTAGTTATAGTATTAAGTTGCTCTTGTTCAAGTTTCGTATTCAGCATAAAATATTCAAAAAATAAAAATAAATATAAAATTAAAAATCCCAAAACACGTTCTGTTAATTATTCAATTAATTTAAGTCCACCTGACTCCCTGCTTCCTCCAAAAACCCCCAAGACTGAGCAACAAAAGGAAAGAAAGACATGCAAGGGGTGTCGCCCCCCTACTTTCTATCTGTATCTTCCTTCATTTTTAACCCTTTAATCTTCTCCCACCCACCTCTTTTCTTCACCTCTTTACTTATTTTTATTAGGTATTAGATCTATATAAGTACTTATATAGACCTTGGTCTAGAGGATTAAAAGTTGATCCTGGACGCTGCCAACCTGGATTAAACTTTAATACCGGATTAACTTTTACGGCAAGTACAGAAGACGCCCGAAGTGTTAAGCATTGATTTCTATGGAGGACAACAGATTACCTGTGTGAACGAAGTAGGGCCTACAGGCTTTTCAGAGAACTTTTGCAATTGCAAACTAGCGAGAGATAAGGCTCATAAAACAATTACATAAGCTAGAAGAAAGTGTTGCGGAACTACAAAAAATAATGTATGAATAACACAGGTTTATTCCACTGTCAGTAAAGTAAATAAGAAAAATTCTTACCAAATTAGAAACATCATTCAAGAGGTAACAAATTTCAATTCAACTCGAGACATTACTCATGCACTCTCCATGCAATTCTCATTTCACGCATTCCTGACCACCAAGGAAGCGACCGAGCTGAAACCAATACACTTTGCACTGGAGATTACTTGGATTACAATTAAGATCCAACAATGAACGAGCGTGTCCGAGCCTTAGAAGGCTCGGAATGCGTTGAGAAATTGCTAGTGTAAGGTCACGGAACGAATTGTTAACAGCAAGCCATTGTTTTTTTTTTTTTTGTAAATTCTAGAAATGCGGCAATGCGGCTTCCGAAAAGGACCTCAATATTATTCATGAAGCATTTGGCAAAAAATTATACTGGTATTCATAGATATAGAAAAAGCCTACAGTATATCTTGGCAATATGGCGTATTCAGATAACCTAATGCTTGTGAATTACGAGGAAACTTCCCTTGCTTTATTCAATTTTTTTTTTTCATCAAATTGTTTTTAAATTGTGTAACTTTTTCGGATTTTTTCCCTAAACAAACAGGGTCCCAGAAGAATGGAATTATTTTGTCACCAACATTAATTTTATGTAAAAAGATATTTTACCTTCTCTCCCCGAATTTCGGAGTGTATGTGTGTTTGTGCATGCGCGCTTGTGCATGTATTGTTTGTATGTTTTAGTGCGTGACTAGACCGTAAGGGAATAGTCACTTTATATATAAAACTCTTTCAGATTGTAACAAATGCCATAAACCTTCCTCAACGTACAAATGATGAGGATGATAAATTTTCATATATTTGTCTAAACTCGATTACATCTTCTGTTCAACCATGTACTAAAAAAAAAAAAAAAAAAAAAAAAAAAAACATAGTGGTACAATTACTTTTTTCTCGATAGTACTTTTCAAAACTTGGTATTACGCTAAGAAAACTGGTTTATCTAAATGGCAATTTACAGCATACGAACACTCCTTAAACTCTGAATGATGCGCCATCT